TCAAAACCCTTTAAATCTAAGCTTTAAACAAAGTGGACATATGTATGCATATAGATATAGAGAGAAGAAGAAGGATTTAGAGAGAGATAGGGAATGATGAGGAAGAAAGAGGTTGGTTAAGTCTTCCAAACCCAAGTGTAGTCCTCCTTGTGCCACTTATCAACCAATGGTTGATTCCCACTTTGCCTAAGTTACCATTGTGCCATTACTTAACATTCCATACTCCATTCATGTCCCCAAAATATCTTCCTCAATGTATAGATATACATATATGTATATCTGTGTGAAATGCCAACAATGCCCCTCAATTAGAACGAGAAAAACCGAGAAAAGTTCCCAAGTTCGAAAGTCGTCCCGACTTCAAAAAATTCTAAAAATGATTCCATCAATTCTAATAGGCTTAAAATAATTAAAAATGCATTTATAAAAGTCCCGAGTCAAGAAAATGACTTAAACGACCCTCGTAGCCCACATGGCACGAAAAATAAATAATAAATTTTTTTGAAAAAATCTGTAAAATATTTTTATTTTCAAGTAAAATGTATTTTTTTTTTTTTTTTTTTTTTTTTTTTGTATTTAACAAAGATCTAGGTTGAGTCTATTGAGACAAACGTGTAAAATAACTTGACGAAGATTGTTACATTTTAGGTTTTAAAATTTTCTTTCGTAAATATTTTACTACAACCAACCAACCCTCTCCGGTCACTCCTTTCTTTTTTTCTTCCTTGTTTTTCTCACACTTCTGATTTTGGTTTCATCTCTAATTCTTTTAAATTTAAGATTGAAGAAATAGTATGTTTTTTTTATAAATAAAAAAAAAAACCGTAACTGCCCATAAAGCAAATTCTCTATTTTATAATTTCAAATGCATACCCAGAGAATGATTAAGGTTTTGTTTATCATATATTTCATATACTCTCTTCTTTCCTGCACTTTCACATTTAACTTCTAGTCTATATTGTTATCCCCAAGCCTATATCACTGGCACTTAAGGACAGATTTAGGATATATTGTGGGGGCCAAATTGAAAATTTTTAATTTATCTTTTAGTCTATGTTGTTATCCCAAGCTTGTATCACTACCGCTAAGGGACGAACGGGGCAATACTAATTTTTTTTAAAAATAATTTTAAGAGGGTAATAGTAATTTTTTAAGAATATACAATTGAAGAAAACAAATTACTAAAGGGGGCAATTGCCCCCCAATACCTATGTAGGTCCATGTATGCTGGGGGCAATTGCCCCCAGTCTAATGTTTCTAAAGGAATGTCTGTGTCAGTGTATGTGTATGTGTATGTGTATATGTATATGGATTTGATAAAAAAATAAAATAAATAAATAGTAATAAGGGTCATTCATATGACAAAAACAATCGGTAGTTTGTGATTATGGAAGATTTGATTTTCTATAGTTGGTAAATTCGGGTAAAGAATTGAGTTTGACAGTTGAATATGGACATCTAATCTCGGTGGGATAACGATGCCACATAGATTTCTGAATAGATCGCATTGATTTTTATTGGTTAAGTGGGTCTCATTGTAATTGACACGTAGGAGCCACATATGGACTATAGAGTCAGTAAGAAATTGTTTTTTTTTAGCCATGCAAATTCAGTCTTGATGAATCAATCAAGGAATTCAACTTTTACCAGGCTTAAGGCATCCAGCCATTTATTTTATGCTATGTTTGGTATGCAGAAATGAAATAGAATGCAAGTGGGAATAGAATGAAATAGTCATTCTCATTCTATTGTTTCGTTGTAAATATAAAATGTGTATAAATGAAATGATAATAACCATTCTAGTATTTGGTTGGATTAATTTTAAATTTAGAATAGAATAAATTTCAAATTGAGTTCTCCAAAATATCACTGTTAGGAAAAAATAAATTAAATTAACAAAATAACATTCTTCTATAATTTTTAAAAAATAAATAGTGGTAGTGGCGGTGGTGGAGGTGGAAAATAATAGTGGTGTAGGTAACGGTTTTGGAAGTAGGGCTGCAAATTAACCGAACCATTCATGAACAGCTCGGGCTCGGCTAGTTAAAAGCTCAGCTCGGGCTCGTTTGTTTAGTAAATGAGTCAATCTCGAACTCAATTTTCAGGCTCGTTTAATAAATGAGCCGAGCTTGAGCAACCCTGAGCTCAGCTCATTAGGCTCGTGAACAAGCTCGTTAAGTTAAAGGCCAATTTTTAATATTATTCTACATTTAAAATGTTGAGCCCATATTCTGTATTTTAAAATGTTTATAGTCCATTAGTCCAATTCACACCATTTCGTCAATAAAGCCCAGAGTCTTGTAATTAGTTAGCCCATAATCCAAATAAGATTGAATATCAGCCATTAATATAGAATCCATCTCAGCCATTGATTTGCTAAAGCTACAAAGAGATAAAAATGCCTTAGAAGCAGAAGTGTACAACAACACGTTTTCTTCATTTCCGAATGATCTTGCCGGCAATCCCCATCATGCGACACAAAGCTTATCTCTCTCTAATGCATCTTAAGGTCGACTGGTCGAGTAGTGGAATAATAGTGTAGATCAGGGATAAAACTTTAGAAGGTTTGATTTCATTTTGAATTTTTTTTCTATTTTTCTAATTTTTTTTCTTTCTTGAAGTGCGAATGGATTTCTTTCTTTTTGGTGATGGAGATAAGATTTCATTGATTCAAGGTCTGATTTCTTTTTGGCCCGAGATGGGGATCGAATTTCATGGAAGAGGTCGTGATTTCTTGAATCAATGATGGTTAGGTATGCAACCGATCCCGAGCCGAGCCCAAACCTAGTTAGGCCAAACTCGACCAAGCCCGAGCCTAGCTCGAACACCTCTAGGAAGATAACGAGCCGAGCCCGAGCAACCCAAAGCTCGGCTCGGCTCGGTTCATTTGCAGCCCTAGTTGGAAAGCGACGAAGGTGGTAATGGTGGAAGGTGGTGGCAATTGTGTTGTTGGTGGTAGAAGGAGATAGTGGTGTAAGTGGTGATGGTGGAAGGCAGTGGGGGTGGAGGTGGTGGCGGTGGTGGAAGGCGGTAGCGGTGGTGGTGATGAAAGGCAGTGGTGAAGGCGATGGCGGTGGTGGTGGTGGTGGAAGACGGTGGAAGGCGATGGCGGTGGTGGTGGAAGGCGGCAGCAGTGGTGGTGCAAGACAGTAGCGGTGGTGAAAGGCGGTGGCTGTGGAAGGTGGTGAAAGACGGTAAGGAGTGGTAGAGAAAGGCGGTGGTGGCGGCGGCGGCAACAACAATGGTGGTAGAAGGCGGCGGTGGTGGTGTAAGACGGTAGCAGTGGTGAAAGGCGGTGGCGGTAGTGCTGGTGGAAGGCGGTGGCTATGGTGAAAGGCAGTGACGGTGGCGGAAGGTTGTGAAAGGTGATGGCGGTGACGGTGGTGGAAGGTGGTGGCAGTGGAAGGCGGTAGTGGTGGTGGCGGTGGCAGTGGCGGTAGCGGTGGTAAAAGGCGGTAGCGGCAGCGATGGTTGGGGTAAAGGAAGGCAGTGGTGGAAAGCGGTGGGTGGTGGTGAAAGTCGGTGGCGATGGTGGAATGCGGTGGTAGTGTTGGTGGTGGTGAAAGGTGGAGGTGGTTGTGGTAGAAGATGGTGATGATTTTTGAACTTGGAACGTGAGGGTTTTTTGAGAAGTTAATTTTTTTAAAAAAAAATACTTGGGAATGGAATGGCTATTCAATAAGTTTAGTTGTAGAATGGATTTTCATTCCCAGAAATGGATTTTCATTGCAATGGAATGGCCATTCCGACTTTTAATTGCATACTAAACAAAGGAATAGTTGGAATGGACATTCTATTCCTGTACACCAAACGCAGCATTAGAGTTTGTTTGGATACATAGGAGAGAAAAAAAATAACAATAATCTCTTTATATGTTTGGATAGATAGAAGAGAAGAGAAAAGAAAAGAAAGATAACAATAATCTCTTTATTATTTCACCCACCCCCTTTTACTTTAGGCTTTGTTAGGATTCATAGAAGTAATAGTATTTTTGTTTAGATATGTTAGATTGGAAAAAAGAAGAGAAATAACAACAACCAAATTACTACCATATCATTTTCAATAAAATGGGTGTGAATGGAATAATATATATATTTTAATTATTGAGGATAATTTCAAAATTATAAAAATATTACTTAAACACTATCTTTTCTTTCTTTATCTTCTTATTTTTTGAGTGATAGGAAATGATGGATAAGGAAGGAACCCTCCCTATCCCTCCCTGCCCTTTTTTTTTTTTCATTTTAAATTATCCAAACACACTTAAACCATATCATATCATGTCGTGTCATTTCTTTCCCTATCCCTCTAAGTCATCCCATCCAAACACACTCTTAGTGACTAGAATGACTATTCCTTCTGATAACAATTTTCATTTGATTGCTACAATACGAGTCCTTTTAGTTCTTCTTTACGATCTGTTTGATTATTAGATTTATATAAAAAGTGGCTCTTATTTGGGGAATTTAACTTTTTATATGGGTGTTTAATATATTTTTTGTCATATTAATAAAAGTAAATTTTAAATTAAAAGATGAATAAATACTTCGTAATTAATGCATTTGTTTAATCAAGTAAATGTCTAATTTGAAAAAAAAAATTAAAAAAACAGACAAAATTTTTGAAACCAGTACAATATTATACCACGAACGGCTTGAATAGAACGCTATGTTGATTAGAACGCTATGAGAACATCAACAACAGATTTATTTATTTATATTTTTTTTGCACTTTAATAAACTATTCAATTTTGTCATTTCACTTCAATGGTTAAAAAAAAAAAAAAAACACTTCAATGATGATTAATGGTAATGGAAACAATAGCATTTTCTTAAAGTAATGCAATTACCCAATTAGCCCTTAAATCATATCCTAGGCTCTTGTTATATTCGTGCACAACTGCTCACCGGAGCACTACTGTTATGTGGCGAACAAATAAAACTTAAATGACACACGGCAGCGTGCATGAGGAATTAGCAATAATATTTTAAGACATTAAGAACACAACATCAAATTTTATTATTACAAATTTAGAGTACATTAGTGAATAATACATCAATATAATATAAATACACAATAATTATAATAAAATGAATTAAGAATACATCAATTTGAATTCACAAGAATATGACATGCTTTCACTGCTTGGTCCTAGTCTTTTCCCCAGAATCCTTGGTGCAAGTCTTTTCCCCAATGCTAAAACTGTATTCTATTCTTCAATTTCTGTTATATCCATTGCTTTGGCGCCACTGGTTGCATCAAAATCTGTTGATGACAAGTAATTTTAGTGAACAAGAGCTATCCAATGCCATTGAAACTATTCAAGTCTTGCAATACAAAATATTGTTGAAAAAACCAAGTCGACAATAATTCATGCACTGTGGCGTTCGTAGGCCATTGATAATATTGATAACAGCATATAATTAGAATACTCGCAGGATGAATAATAAACTATAAATATTAAGAAGAGACCTAATTATCAACTATATGCTATAACAAAATAAAAAAATGTAACTATTGATGTCTTACAATATGAAACTGAGAGCAAAACAGAGAAACACAGAGAGAGAAACAACTGCAAGAAAATTTTCTGTATATGTTCATTGCAACATGCAAAAAAATTCAATTGCATTTAGTAGTGAGAGAAACAGAGTTCAGTGTCACTACTTTTCCTGATAGCTACTCAAAACATGTTTCTGTATATGAAGTGTGCTGGGGATGCGGCTCGGGCATAGTAGGTCTGGCTTGAGCTTTCTCTGTTTCTTTGTTTGGTTGTCAATAGATATTTAGGAAACTCAATGAAAATATTTTGCTATACTATGGCAAAGAGTCGCTACCAGAGAAGGCTGTTTCATGCACCTATGGTCACTGGAGCTCTTTCTTTTAGGTCGTCCTACCGATCCTTCTTTCCTTGGTCACATCAATCAGTAGAATCCTGTTATCTATAATAAAGGAAGGGACTAATTCCCGATGGACGAGCGAGTGAACGAATCACCAACCAGCCTAGCCAATCAGTAATTTAGGAGTAGCAATGAGAACATCCGTAATGACATTTCTCGCCTCATTGCTCCTCTGTCTCTCATCTAATCCAGAACTACATCTTGATCGATCACCTACTCCAGAACTCGATCATCTAATCGATCACAGCTCAATCAAACAGAGTTGTGGTCTTAAACGAAAGAATGACTCTAAATCGAATAAAGATGAGCCCCAACTACTAAAAATGGGAGAAAGAAAGAGAGAATCGATTACTGAAGTCAAAATCAAACAAAGATGAGCCCCAACTCAATATACACATAGGTTGCAGACGAGAGAGAGAGAGAGAGAGAGAGAGAGAGAGGATGACACAGAATGAGAGGTTTGGACACTGAGGGTGAGCTGTCTGTGAGAGGACAAATAAGTGGAAGGAAAAATAACACGTGGTGGCTGGTGTAAGGATGGTTTTAGTGGTGCGGAATTTATGACTGCCGCCAAGATTTGGCTACTATAGCTCCATTTTCTTGTAATGTTGGGAGGAACGACCGTATCTTCAGGAACCATCCAGGCTCCTAGAACATATGTCCGGTTATGTATACATATGAAATTGGTTTCATGGCCAATTCCTATGCATCAGATTTTAAAGACAATTTGTAGTAATAAGTGCACAAATTTAGTTCTATACAAACAACTAAACAAGCATGTATTAGGGCCTTCGTACAGTAACCAACTCCATTGTTTCATCGTTCCAAATATTTCATACATATAAGAATAAAGAAAGTCGCTGCCTCTGATCTAAAATCTTAATAGCCATGCCAGCCTTTGGTTGTCTGATACATGATAGCCAACAACTCCAAGCTTCATATACAAAGCTCACGTAATTCCATTGTCTACATACCATGTGGATACGTATCTACATATATGTATATTATATATATTCAAATTCAAAATTTCTACATGTGATTACAGTAACAACTCCAATATCTAAAAGATAATTTATATGAATAAATCATCTACCAAATAAAAGAATTAAAGTCCTAGCCAGATTCGCTAAGTTAGAGCTTGTGAGGGTAATTTGTTTCTAGGGTTAGAGAGCAGAAGTGGGAGGAGGAGGAGGAGGAGGAGAACAAAAACTAGAGAACATAATATGATGGTTGTCATCACCTCACTTGTATATATATATATATATATATTGAGATAAGAAAATTACAATAATGCCCCAAAGTAAACAAGTAAAACAGTAAACACTCTCTAACTCCAACACTCCCCCTCAAGCTGGAGCATACATATTAAACATGCCCAGCTCGAACACAATCGCTGAAAGGCACCACGAGCTAACGGTTTTGTAAGAATATCACCTGGCTGATTGTTTCAGCAAATATAAGGAGTAACAATCTGTTTCCGCATCAGCATATTGCGAATAAAATGACAATCAACCTCTATATGCTTGGTACGCTTGTGAAAAACAGGATTGCTAGCAATGAAGATAGCGGCTTGATTATCACAATGCATCGACATAGGAGAAGGAACACTAATACCCATCTCTTGAAGAAGAGAGCGAACCCACAATATCTCAAAAGCGGTGTGAGCCATAGCACGATACTCAGTCTCAACACTAGAACGAGCAACAACGGTTTGCTTTTTACTCCGCCAAGTAACAAGATTACTGCCAACAAACATGCAATAAGCAGATGTAGAGCGCCTGTCAGAGATATTTCCAGCCCAGTCTGTATCACTAAAACCCATCACAGATAAGGAGGAAGAAGGCTTATACAACAGCCCATTACCAGGCGCACCCTTTAAATAACGCAAAATACGACAAACCACCTCGAAGTGAGGTTGACGAGGAGCATGCATATATTGACTAACCACTCCAACAACATAAGTAATATCGGGGCGAGTAACAGTGAGATAAATTAATTTCCCAACAAGACGACGATATCGTCCAACATCAGTAAACACCTTCCCCTGCTCACCATCAAGTCTAACTGTAGAGTCCATAGGAGTATCAGCATGCTGAGTACCTAAGAGGCCAGTCTCGGAAAGAAGATCAAGAATATATTTCCATTGAGATAGTGAGATGCCTTGATGGGAACGAGCAACCTCAATCCCAAGGAAATAGTGAAGTGCACCTAGGTCTTTAGTATGGAATTGTTGACCCAAATGACATTTCAACTCTGCAATTCCCGTGTAATCACTCCCACAGATGATAATATCATCAACATAGACAATGGTGCCCTTAGAAGAATGACGAATAAACACAGCATGATCAGAAGTGGAGAGCTTAAAACCATAATCAATCACTACAGTGCTAAATCGAACCAGGCATGAGGAGACTGCTTCAGACCATATAAAGCCTTACACAAGCGACAAACTAGGTGCTCAGTTGTAGCAACAACATAACCAGGTGGCTGATCCATATAAAATTCCTCCTGTAGATCGCCATGAAGAATACATTCTTTATATCAATGCCAAAAACAACAGACTGCCACAGAGAGAAGAGCACAAACAGAATTAAGACGGGCTACAGGAGAAAAGGTCTCTGAGTAATCAACCCCATAGGTTTGGCTGTATCCTTTGGCAACCAAACGCGCCTTAAGACGCTTAACAGAACCATCAGGATGATACTTTATAGTGTAAACCCAATGACACCCAACAGTTCGTTTCCCAGAAGGATGAGCAGTAAGCTCCCACGTTTAATTCTTGTGAAGAACACTCATTTCCTCATCCATAACATGTTTCCATCTAGACATAGACAAAGCCTGCTGATAAGATGAGGGAATAGAAATAGAGGACAACGTAAAAGCAAAAGATTGCAAGGTAAAGGAAAGACGATGATAGGACACAAAATTAGCAATGGGATGTTGAGTACAAGTACGTGTACCTCGACGTAATGCAATTGGTATATCATCAGAAGTGGAGGGTGGAGGAACAGGAACCTCTAGTGGAGAAGATGTCGTATGTGGACTATAAGAAACAATCGGCCGAGATCTAGATCGTTGATAAACCTACAATGGAGAATTAGAAGGTGGAGGTAATGGCATCAGCAGCATAGGAGAAAGAAGGAAGGCTCCCCCTCACAAGGAGATATGAGATCCAAAGAGAAATTCTGGCCAGACGATGAAATGAATGTAGTAGACTCAAAGAATGTAACATCAACACTAACAAGGTATCGCCGAGATTCAAGACTATAACAACGGTATCCTTTCTGAGTGTGTAAGTATCCAAGAAACACATACTTACGAGCACGAGGGGACAGTTTGTCATGCCCAGGGTCCAATATATGAACAAATGCCACACAACCAAATACACGAGTTGTGAGCGAAAGAGGAGAGGCATCAGGATATAACAGAGAGAAAAGACTTTGATTGTTCACAACAACGGATGGCATACGATTAATAAGGTGACAAGCAGTTAGAACGGCATCAGTCCAAAAATGCTTGGGTACCTACATATTGAATAACAAGGTACGAGCCACATCCAATAGATGGTGATGCTTACGTTCAGCAACACCATTCTGTTGAGAGGTGTGGACACAACTAGTCTAATGAATGATACCTCGATCAACACAAAATGAATTCATGGAAGATTGTATATACTCCAAGGCATTATCAGAACGAATAACGTTAATGCGTTTACCAAACTGAGTAAGAATTTCATTATAAAACTTGGCAACAAAATGAGGTAACTCCGACCTCTATTTCATTAAAAATAACCATGTCATGCGAGAAGAATCATCATCAGCAATGAGGGCATTGCGAGTTCGGCACCACCCATTCGGGAATGGTCTAAGGTGACATCGTCTATTCGGGAGGTGTCAGGTATGTGAAGGCGTTGCGAGTTTGGCACAACCTATTCAAAAATGGTTTAAAAAGACAATTGTTTCTTTTTTATGGTCTGAGAAGACATTGTTGATTCTTTCATCTACATTGTTTAAACATATGTATGAAGGGGAATGGTCTGTGGAGACATTGTTAATTCTCTTGGCTCAAGTTATGTGGGTGGTGGTGCCATTTTTCCCACCAACTCATCAGAAAATCCAGGACTTCAAATCACCAGAGTGAAGTTGGATGGTTCCAACTATTTGATTTGGGTACAGTCTGCCAAGATGTTCATTGGTGGCAAAGGCAAGATTGGCTATATTACTAGTTCTGAAAAAGAGCCAGCCGAGCCAGAGAAGGCATATCCACAGTGGTTTGTAGATAACGCTATGGTTATGTCTTGGCTAGTCAATTAGATACAACCAAACATAGTTGTTGGCTATATGTTTATGAAAACTGCTAAACAGA